TTCCAGCTGGGTAATGGACATGTGATTTAACTTATGTCCTGTGCTTTGGCGATGCGACATTGGAATATATGCTAAGTCATGTATCGTTTATAGAACCAAACATCTTGATTGATTAGTAATTATGAATGTGTGTATTGTGTGTGTGTGTGTGTGTGTGTGTGTGTGTGTGTGTGTGTTGTGTGTGTGTGTGTGTGTGTGTGTGTGTGTGTGTGTGTGTGTGTGTGTGTGCGCGCGTGCGGGAAATTGTACAACTCTCCTCGTCGGTGTGTTAAAGTATTTTGTCACTGATGATGATTTTGAGCACTTACCATCAACACGAGGAGAAGGAGAGCGCACACTCGAACTGCAGTTGAAGACATGACTGTGAAATGAGGTTCAGACGATTCCTTCGCAAGCATGGCGGGATAAGAAGTCTTCACCCGTATTTATTGGCCTCAATGACGTAAAATAATAATTGCGGGGAAGTCCTAGCGTGTACTGGCTTGTTTTCCTAGTTGCTGTGGACGGTTACAAACTCGGTTCGAAGGTCAAAATATAAACACTTTCTCTGGGTAGTAATAGGCTTTTGTTTTGCTTTATTTACGTCTTGGGATATTAAGAAAAAAACTACTTGCAAACTTGCTCTGTTTTATTTATTTACTTTTTGCTACTGGGGGTGCAAACCAGCACAACTTTGCGTCGGTCCCAAGCCAGGTAAACGTACTCTAGGAACCTGCAAAGGCGTACCCCAGAAGCGTCTTCGCCTAACCCATGTGAAAAAATAAACAAGGGCTACCGCGTCAAAGAATGGGCGTGGCTAAAGAAGATAGTTCTTAAGCTTCGAGTAGGAACGCTTCATGTTGGTAGTTGAACAGGCCGGGGCAGGGAACTGGTAGTTATGATGGAGAACAGACGATTAGGTGAAATCGTGAAATACCTGTACGGGTTGTAAACTTCTGTATAGAGGAGCGAATCAACAAGGGAGAAACGGCGTTGGGATAATTCTAGATAAGGTTTGTAAGGATGATATAGTATGTATGTTTGAGAAGGAAAAACAATAGAATTGTGAGTGTAAATTTATCCACTGGTGGGGTGGCTTTGAATGTTGTACGCTAGTAAAAGATAAGTATGAGGATGCAAGAACACAGGTTAGAACTTGTGTACGTGGAGCAGAAAAGTTCATTGTTAAGGTTGGGCTTCATCTAGGTTTGGCTTTGAACCTATATTTGATTTGATAACGGACGTACGCAAACCGGAAATAGTACAACCAGTTCCATGGGATATGTTAATTGTACACGGTCTAGTCCTGATAGACACCATCAGGGAAGGAGTTGAGCAAAAGCTGGAAAGATGGAGAAGAGATGGAGGAAAGAGGGTTTAAATTTGTCGAAAGAAAAAGCAGTATGTGGTTCTTAACACGGAAGATGAGGGTGAGGATGGTGAACGAAAATTCTAAAAAGGACTAAACACCTTCAAATACTTAGACTCCCATGTGTCATCAGATGGGCCACTGGACCAAGAAATAAGTCATAGGATACAGTCAGGCTGGAGAAACTGGAAGAATGTATCAGGAGTTTTGTGATTAAAAAATGCATGTGAGAATGAAGGGAAAAATTGTCTGAACAACAATAATGAACAGGGAAGGATCAGGAGAGAAGATGTGGTAGAAATGAGGAGGACGTGTTGAGTTACGGGATTTGACAGGATTAGTAATGGTTGAATACTGGAAATATCAAGAAAAAAATACATGTTTGAATGTATGAAGGCCACGGTCATGTGACTGAGGAGAGAGAAGGAATATGCTGGAAAAATAAGTAATGATGTAGAAAGGAAAAGGTGAAGAGGGTGGAGGGACTGCCTGCAAACAGATTTTAGAGAGAAGGGAATAACTGGCGAACAGTAGGCCTATTTTGATAGATAGGAATGGAGAACTGTCCAAAGGTAGCGACTCCATATAAATGCGGGATAAAGCAAGTGAAAAAGAAGAAAAAAAAGTTTATTGTTTTGGTCTGGGAAAATATAATACCACGTACCTAAATTCAAGGACATATTTTCCAAGGTCTAAGTATCTCTTTATGAGTATTATTTACACTATGTTTTATTCATGAGTTATCCGTTACTACCTCAGAGGTTAGGCTATAGAGTACGTGATGTAGAATGCTCAATGAGAGTAAATTTCTCGTGTTTTCATCTCTAAATTGTTTAACGGCGTAAATACTTATTTGTATAAGCACACACACACACATATATACTGTCTATATGCACACATACATATATAGACATACATAACATATGTGTGTGTGCATATATATATAAGCATATATTTGTGTATGAGTATGTGCAGGTATGTATGTGTGTGTAAGTGCATATAGAGGGTATATATACATATATATGTGTACAAATAAAGAGTATGTATACATATATGTATGGGTGTGTAACATTATTTAGAGAGTAATATATATTGTGATATACATTTGTATGCGATATATATACATTTATGATATATACTATATAAATATATATATATATATATATATATATATTATATATATATATATATATTAATATATAATATATATATACTGTTGCCGCTGGTATATCACATATTTCGTATAACATGCCACAGGACCTACTTCATACCCACCGTTTCTAAAGAAGAAATAATAGTCCTTTGTATGTAAGATAATGAGATCACGAACTAACTAACGTCTTATACATGAGGTAGAAAGTTATTTAATGTTGAAGCCTATTTATTTTTGGAGTCTGATGACTTTACGAGGGAAATCTTTGAGAAATTATATAATCTAATATACGGTGTCATTCGGTTGCTTTGAATTTTGTAGATATCTATGTAATAGGTAAATGTAAATTTTTTTCTTTGTCGAAATATTTCACCAGATGTAACTTACGATTGTATTAATTGTATTTTTGACCACCACTGAATGCACGTTATGCGAGTAGTAAGCAGTGGTATCAGTCAACGTATTTCGGCGGGCATACACACACCGCATATATTTAATTGATAGGGTATATATATTATAATATAATATTATTATATATATATATATAATACTTATATTTATATATATGTTTGTGTGTGTGTAGTGTATGTGTGTGTTGTGTATGTGTTTGTGCATGTAAATATACATATAGTGTACATATGTGAATGTGTATCTACAAATATATATATGTAATATATATATTATAATATATATATCTATATAATATTTATATATATATATAATTATTTATATATGCACATATATATATATGTACCACATAATTATATATGTATATATGTATGTATTATGTTATATACATATACATATAATCTCCTGTACATATATATACACAGATATTATGTGCACAATATATATATATATTATAGTATATATATAGATATAATATAAATATATAAATGTATATGTGTGTGTATTGTGTGTGTGTGTGTGTTTGGTGTGTGTTGTGTGTGATGTATTGTGTGTAGTGAGTTGTGGTAAGAAATACACAATGTACAAAATATTATTTGTACTGTGTTTTTGCCCATTGTATCAGAACGAACAGGTATGCCAGAACACATGTTAATTACCATTCATATATATAAAGTATATTTTAGCTATTATACTGTATATGTGTTATATAATGCATAATATGTGCGTATAGGCATTTATATTAAGCTCGCACTAGCGCATGTTATACTTACACGCACATTCACACACACTCACACAAATGCAATATATATTTTTTGGTAGAGGAGGCATTAAAACAAATTATATAATATACGAATTGGTTATTGCAATTTCATAGTGTATAAAAGATGTTCTACGAATCCTTCAAAAAAAAGGTGAATTCACGATCTGATGCTGAGAAAGCAGTTTGCTCTAGCACGATATCCACAGACAAAGACCCTATCAACCCATGGGCCTATCCAGGGGATCAACACAAATATTTCTGCAGCAGATTCCAGGCGGACAACACTTCTGTTTTCCTTGACATTCAAAATCACTCTGACAGCCGGTATCTTGATAATCCGGCGAGAGGAGACGGAAGTCACTGTAAGGAATCAAGGAAAAGGATTAGTTACGATCCATTTTTTTCAGCCAATACATTATTCTGCGATTGTTTCAGCGAGCAATAAGGTCCCGGAAGATAGGCCGAAGTCAGTTCAGTGGACTCTCTTCGATCGACTCTCTCGTGCTCTCTCTATTCTTCTCTCTTCTCTCTCTCTCTCTTCTCCTCTCGTCTGACTCTTTATGTCTCTTCTGCTCGTCTCTGCATCTCGTTTTGGACTTATTTTCCACGTTTGTAGTACACGATTTTACCAATCCCGTTCTAGTCCTGATCTATCCTCACTGTTCAACACAAGCTGACCTGAACTGCAGTGGAAAACATATAAAAAATGAGTAGGATAGATTACCTGTCCCTATAGATAAGTACCTGAGTAGATATATAAATAACTTACCTGCCCCCTGGAGGAGGAGGTGCTGGGAAGAGAGGGCAGAAACCTGGCTTCTCTCGATAAGGACGACCTGCCCACGAGTTCTGCACCTGGGTAAGAAACTGCTGGTTTACCAAAAGGCTCTGTTTACATTATATTATATCCTATATTGGGATATGTGCTATGTATGCTCAAGCCATGCATGGTTCATAGAATATTGGAATATCTATATCTATGCATGGTTTATAGAATATTGGAGTATATTTATGAATGGTTTATAGAATATTGGAATACTTATAGAATATTTGAACATATGCTATATATGTTCAAGCTATGCATAATTTATAGAACAATATAACAATCTGGTTGACTAATAGTTACGACTAAATATACACGGGAAATGGTATTTTTCTCCACATCAATATGTTTATTCTGTTATCAATGATGATTCTGAGTACTTACCATCAACACGACGAGAAGGAGAGCGCACACTCGAACTGCAGTTGAAGACATGACTGAGGAATGTGGATCAGACGATTCCGTTGCAAGACTGACGGTGCAAGGGACCTACACTTGTATTTATTGGTCGTATGACGTAATACAGAATACTTGCGGGAAAGTCCTAGCGGTTTTTTTTTATTATTATTATTTTTTTTTTTTTTTTTTTTTTTTGCCAAGTTACGGTGGATAGGTTTACATAATCGGTTCGAAGGCCAAACATAAACAGCATCTCCAGGTAGTGACAGCCTTTTGTTTTGCTTTTTTTATACGTTCTGGAATGTTTAAAAACATTTCTCCTTCTTGCCGACGCGCTCGTCCCGCCTCACCTCTTACTCGCTTGATCCCCTTTTTGTGCTTCAAACTTTTTATATTTTGTGATCTTCAAAACTCATGCCTAATAGAACTAATACACACCTACACATATATATATATATATATATATATATATATATATATATATATATATATATATATATATGTGTGTGTGTGTGTGTGTGTGTGTGTGTGTGTGTGTGTGTGTGTGTGTGTGTGTGTGTTAATGTACTACTACAAAACAATATTGATCATTCTGATTTGGTAAACTGCAAATGCAAGTACGCATATTTAAGGAATTATTTTCTAAGGTCTAAATATTTATTTATGACTAATATTTACATTATGCATTACTCATGACTTGTATTACGACCGCAGAGCGTAGGTTATAGAGTACACGGAGAGTCGTGTCATTTAATTATTATTATTATCATCATTATTACTGTTATTATTCGTAAACACTACGGGGGAAATTATTTCAATTTTCAGTAAGTAGCACGGACTGTTTGACGGCGAAAGAATTCACTGGTATAGATAGGAAGACGAACAAATTAGAGACAAAACAAGTAAAGTTGCCTTTCCGCGGCAAGGCAGGATCCAGTTCTATCTCGCTGTGGTGTTACAGTTGAGCTCTGTTCAAAAAAATTGTGGTTGAGTAACCTTAATAAAGAATGGAAATACCACAGGTAAGATGATAATGAAACATACAGGTGTAACAGAGTTACATAACAATCATGATCACATGTAGTCCATGTTTACATAAACACACATACTTAAATCTAAACATTGATATATATATATATGCATGCATGTACACTAACGCAATTTCATATGCATGTATGTGTATATATGTATACACACATTTCCATGTGTGTTTATGTATATATATACATATATATTTACATATTTATATTTATGCATTACGCGTTTTTCTACCAAAGAAACAGTATATATATGTATATATATATTTATGCAAATGCCTACATATGTGTGTATGTGTATGTGTATATATATGGAGATATATACATATACATACATATGTGCACAAATATTTAGATGGATAAGTAAATATATATGTATACATGAACACCTTATCACCTGTTATCCTTTATAACTTTTTACACTACACATATACATATATTTATATACATACATATATATGTGTGTGTGTGTGTATACATGTGTATATATATATATATATATATATATATATATATATATATATATATATATATATATATATATATATATATATATATATATATATATATATATATATATATATATATATATATATACATATGTAGGTGTCTTTAATTATATATATGAATATATGATATATATTTTATACATATACATTATACATACATACATATATATATATATATATATATATATATATATATATATATATATATATATATATATATATATATGTATGTATGTATATACAAACATATTATATAGGGCACATTAGGCAACCCATTGCTAATCAAACAGGATTAATCATTCATATTTGATTCTGAAGGATCAACAATCTCTATCTTTACAAACAGCAAATCAACTTACAAATCGACAGACTCTTCTGTGAACAAGGCTGCAACCACACACACACATACACATACATACACATACACATACATACATACACACATACACGCCGGAATAAAGACATCTGACGTTCACTCTGAACAATTGTTATCTCCGAGGTAATCGAATCTTCTGGAACTCTCTGTTAACCTGAAAACGAGAAAAGAACAAATGTCATAAGTCCATTATTTTGTAGAAACGCATACGGCATAATAAAATTGGAAAGTATTTACTTACTTTCAAAACTGAAAGCTTGTACTCAAAATATCGAATGGATAGCAGACTATTCCAAAACCAGATCCGACACAGATACTTTTCCACACTTATGTTCACTTTCCTCCCTCACCCTCCCCCCCCTTCCGAAACAAAAGTAATAATAAGAATAAATAAACCTACCATGATCCCTCACACCAACTAAAATGTAATAATAATATTAACAAAATGCCCCAACATAATTTCCTCAGTTATCCTATAAGAACTTTGACTGAGTACAAGCTAACCCACCAGGAACCAAGCAACATTTTTCAATGCCATCACATTCCATATCTTTGTGGCAATTCAGTTGTTTGATGCTGTTGGAGGGAGAACCATAATGTTAATGATAAAATGTTTATGATCATGTCAGAATGCTGATAATTGTGGTGTTTATGAGTACAATGCTCGGATGTTAATAGAGTTGTTTATGATCAGCTGTTGACGATGATAAAGTTAAAATGTTGATAATGTTCGTGTTTTCGATAATAATGCTAGAATGCTAATATTGATGGTTTTATGATAATATAGAATGTTGATAAATTTGGTGATTATGATAATTATACTAAATTGATAACGATGTTGGTGTTTATGATAATAACATTAGAATATTTTTTACTTTAACATTATCATTATCACCATCATTATCGCCATCATGCTATCATCATCCCAATTATTATTATCACATTTACGATCATTATCACTATCATTCTCATTACGGTCTCACTGCGATCACCGCTCCCCCCCCCCCCCCCCCTTCATCACAGCGGCTTATAAAGCATTTTCCAAGATCTGTGGCTGCATAATAATGTGATGATAAAAAAGATAGAAGCAAAATAATATAACAAAAAATTACCAATAGCGATTGATACTTAAGGATGATAACAGTGATGGATTGCATGATAGTGATGATGAGGGTGAGGGTGAGGGTGAAGATAGTGAAAATACCATTGATAATAACGGTGGTCTAAAGACATAATAACGAAGACATTAATATTCCTCGAAAAGTCATCATGGAACTCCCAACCAACTGTGCCGGATGAGCAAGCGACGTAGGACGGATCTGAACTGAAGCATCAAGGGGCCAAGCGCTGCCCTTTTATCCACCGAGGAGCCGGTGTTATGGCGCAAAGGGTCGTTGTTGCGAAACCGTAAGTTAGGAAACAAAATGAATTTGTTTGGGGTTGGACAGAGATTTGTGAATGCATTTGAATGATTGATAGGCAGAGGATAAACTGTGATGTTGAATGGGTGACACTTTTCAGAATATTTTATTTCAGAACATAGATAAGTGGCTATTCACACGTACAAAATGTTATAGGGAGGCAAAGATGGTTTCATAGAAAGTCCTAGTTATAGATAAAACCAAAAATCTCTTTCTGTCGAGGCGAAGAAGCAATTGGGAGGCCGGTGAGCGAGTGTGAATAAAGCCGTTGAATTTCAAATGATTATCCTCACCAACCACCCAACTGTTAAATAATTATCATCTTCCTATTTGCCTGTCACCAGTCATCACTGGCCTGTAAGAGCTTTTTCCTGTCGGTTAAAAAGAGTGGAGCATAGGTACTCAAAGAGAGAGAGAGAAAAAAACACCGTTTTTTATCAAAATAATAATGATGCATAAATTGTTCTTATATATTTATGTTTTCTGCTTGTTTACTTGGATATTTTTTTCCATAAAAAAATGCTACGTTAATGGATAGAATTAGCAAATGCTAAACCTGTAAATTCATTTGCATAACTTTTTCTAGATATTTTCTATAATGCTCTGAAGAAAATAGGATTTTTTGAATAAATATTGAGACCATATATATATAATGTTTTATTACACTGAATAAAAATAGGAAATACGCTGCACTATGTTTCGGCGGAGCTATCACCGAGCCACGTGTTCAAAGTGAGAGGCTATTGCGTCACCCAAAATTAGGGCTTATGCACACTCGAGGGTTGCTTGCAGATGGAGTAGTTCGACAGCACTTCTGGTCGCCTGGGCAGTTCAAGTCGTGAGCACAAGGGCTGTTGCAAGGGAGAAAATAGGACTCAAAACAGGTTACACTGATCTAATACACTGATACATGAACCAGTGTTGTGATGTGCGAACGCGAGAATAACATTGTATTCCGAATGCCAAATATTTGCTTTCATAATTAACACGCTGTGTATCAAACGATGAAATAATTTGTGCTTACGGTAAGTTCGAGGAAATGGGCGTGGGCATCGGCCTGGCTTTGGTCCAACGGGGCCCAATCCACAAACAAAACTTGCCTAAGAGATAATATAATGTATTAGTATGTACGCATGTATAAATAGTCATGTTTATTTACACTCATCAAATACACATACATGTGTATTTATATATATATATATATATATATATATATATATATATATATACATAAATATATATGTATATATAGATGTGTATTTGTGTATATATCTTTATATATATACACATATATATATGTGTGTATGTGTATAAACATAAATGTTTATATAGACATATGTGTATGTATATATATTATATGTGTGTGTGTATATATATCTACATCATAACAAGCACATATCTCACCATCAGCAGCGCAGCCAAAACAAAACACGAGCGCAGTGCGAACGAGGCCATTTCACAGACGAGAAGCAGAGGTCCCTCTTCCACCGCAGACTCGACGCTCTGTGTTGGCAGCAACGGCGAGCTGGACTTCAATATTGTGTCGATGACCATTAGGAAGCAAAGCAAGTATTATCTTTCATGCATTGTGCCCGGAGGCTCCCACGTGCAAGGGATTTCCCAGACGGAAACTGTAAACCTTTCCTTGTATCTGAACTATATATTTTTTTTTTTACTCATGTTACGTCAAACAGCGGTGTATTGGTGTAGATTTGTGTTTCTGTCGTATTTTTCATATTTCATCGTTCATACGAATACATAAA